GAAGAATTTTATTACTTTTGAAAATAATTGAATTTCTGCAATCATTTGTAATTTCTCTAAAATTCTCCAAATTATATATTGTATATACAACTTACGAACTTTTTGTTCTTTTCAAATCAAATTACGAATTTTACGGACCTTTTTTTAAAAAAACTGACTTTTACCATAATTTGATACACTAATATAATGTTAAAAAAAATTATTTTACAAAATTTATATTCTTTCTAATTAAAAATCACTAAAATTTAGTATAGAAATCGTGTAGTAATTCTATAGAATCGTTCTAGTAAAATTCTATAGAATATTCACTAGAATTCATATATAAAATGATTCTATATAGAATATTCACTAGAATTCATATAAAATGACTCTAGTGACATTCTATACAACTTTCTCAGCTATGGGTATATTGTATGCCGATGATTAATTTTATGCCTTTCCACCGTTCTCATCAGTGATCCTCAGAACTTTACAAAAAATAATCGCAGACAGGCACAGTTTTCTTGGAAGTATCAAATTGATATACTAAAGTGAATCAAATTGATGCCAAAAATTTGGATCAATTTTTGATTTGATCCACATTTTTGGTATCAATTCATTGCAATTTGATACTTTTAAATTTACAGTGGAGCTGAAGGAGTTCTCGTATAGTACCCTAAATAAAACCTAAAATAACATTTCAGTTCGCGACAGTGTAAATGATAGTTTATCATTTAAGATCATCCATAACCATATATCTCCGAATAATTCCATATGATTGTTGATAAAATTTGTTGTTATCTTTCGAATAAAATCAATTATGATTTAGAATTCGACAGTGACTCATTAAGGGTCAGTTTTACGAACTCCGGTTAAAATAAATTAATCAATGATTAAAGTCATGCCCTAAGTACATTATATAAATGTTTTAGATAAAAACACTGATAACATAGAAGTATCAAATGGCAACGAATTGATACCAAAAATGAGGAACAAATAAAAAATTAATCAAGACTTTTCGCATCATTTTGATCCGTATCAGTATCAATTTGATACTTTCAAGAAAACTGTGAAAACCTTATGAATCTCGTTAGGCAATATTAATCCTCTCAAAACTAGAGCAAACAAAAGAGGATGCTGTTGAATGTATATACGTATAGTGTTATATATATACACCAGAAATAAATCCCAATTAGCCGAGACCGCCTGTGCAGTTAAAAACCAGTTTCTCTCCGCCCCTTTTTCTTAAGGCCAGGCATCGGGGACGCGACAGTGAGGCAGGAACCAGAAAACGGTCAGTGGAGGATAGGAAGAGCCGACAAAGTGACGCCAATTCAACAGGCGCACACAAACACAATATTCCCCGCAGATGGGTCGCGCCCGCGTTCGTTCCACAATGAAAAAGGAACAAGAAGACAAAGTTTGTAGTACAGTAGAAGAAGAAGATGAAGAAGAAGAAAGAAGACGAAACCCTCCGTTTGAATCACGGCCCTCGAAGAAGGGTCTTCTCCCTCCCCTCCTCAAACCCATGGCATATCTCTCGTTTTCAAGGCCAAGGCCAAATGATGCGACTCCTGCCGTCTTCTGTGTTCCTGTTGAAAATGCGTGGGCGCGGTTTCCCCGAGGGCTGTCCGTGCCGCGAGGTCGCACCCTTTTCGGCCACACGTGTTCCGCGAATTGCCCTATGCCCAACCCCTTCTCTATCTTGTCTCCTTTTGGGGTCAATCTGCCCCCCCCTTCCCCCTTCTATCCTTAAAGATATCCTCTCACTCTCTCTCTCTGCCTTCTCACATATAATCTCAAACTTTGTATGTGTGTGTTGGAAGTCGCGCTTGCCTAAAATAAAACGCTCTTATTCAAGCAGGAAGCCAATCGGGCGCCCGGACTGGTCCATTCTCGCGCGTTTAACATGGGACAACCCTCATCGTTGTGCCTTCAAAACGTAATATCGTTTCACGCACAAAAGCATTCTCCTGTGTACACACAAATGTCTCTCTTACGCATGTCCTTCGCATCCCCCACCCCACCCCCCCTTCTAAAAAACCCCCTATACAGGAGAATGGTCTCTCTTTAGGGGTTCCGTTTAGCATCCCATCCATTTGAGTATTTGAGTGGGGTGGCCAAACCCCAACTCATCTTGGAAACCAATTGAAATTCACCAAGATGTTGTATACGCGTGGCTCATCGTTGAAACAAGACTCATTTAGAGAGGGATGCTGCGCGAGAGTTATGGTGACCCACTGAACGAGTTAGAGAGGTTTTTTTTTCCCTTACTTTCTCTCATAATATGGAAATTCCCATTTGTTGAAAAATTAAATCGGAGAAATTATACGTTATCATGAAATATATTAAATCTTGTCAACTGAATTATCAATTTAATTTTTTCTAGCTATTTTATATTTTAACCCCTTGACACAGTCCATAACACATATATTACCCATAAAAAGTCGTGTGCCACCTTTGTTTCATGGACAAAAAAAAAATACTTACACTACTTTGTTTTAAATATCACTTTAAATCTTACTACGTTCAAAGAACATATATATTTATAAAAAATTACACGGCTCGAACCAGTAAAAGTATTTAAAAATACGAACCAAAAATGAAAAATTACGGACCAATTACGGACCAATTACTGACAAAAATATAACAAATCCGAGTCAAATAAGAGAACATTTTAACATTTAAAACATTTAACTATAAATTAAATTTTTTATAAAGCGATAAAACATGAAGATATCGATTACTCCGAGTCTTCGACTCAGAGTGATCGATTTCTTCATGTTTTATAATAATTAAAAATGACCGAGTGATAAAATCAATTGCAATTCAATTATTATTTATACAAGAATTTTTAACTAAAATTCTCCTTTAAATTATAATTTCAAATCTGTAAATTTAAAATTGTAAATCATTAAATTGTAAATAAATAAATAACATTCTTCTTTAAATCGACTATTTTTAAATAATTTTCAAAAAAGTTCTTTGACAATTTTCAAATCCATTTTGTTTACAATATTCAATTTTACGAAATTTCAATTATTCGTAAATTCTTCAATTAAATAAATATTAGAAAATTAAAACTTAAATAATATTAAAAAAAAATCCAGTTAAACTGTTTAAAAAAAATAATTTCCAAATTCAATTATTTTTAAAAATCCACATACCTATATTGCTTTTAATATTCAATTATTATCTAAAATTTTAACTGAAAATAATTTTTAAATCCAAATTTTATTAGAAAATTCTACTAGAATTCAATTATTTATATACAAATTTAAATGTAAAAATGCAAATAAATAATTTATTGAATATTTGAAAGTTTCTTAAAATTCAGTTCCCGCATAAAGAATCTTCATCAACAATAAATAAAAAAAATTCAATTACACTTTTTCAAAAAAATTAATTTCAAAATTCAATCAAGGAATTTTAATAAAATTTTTAAGAATAATTACATTTTTCGAAAAATTCGATTAAAAATTGTATTAAAAATAATTGAAATTCTGCAATGAGTTTTATTGATTGTGAAAATAATTGAATCTCTAAGAAAATTTTTATTACTTTTGAACAATATATTTAATTTTTTGTGAAGAATATATATATTTTATTACTCTTAAAAATAATTGAATTTTTGCAATAATCTGTAACTTTTACAAAATTGATTTTTTTTCGTGTTTTTAACTATAAACATCTTCTATAAATCCATTATTTTTAATAATTTTTGAAAAAGATTTTTAAGAATTTTTAAATTCATTTGTTTACAATTCAATTTTACAAAATTTCAATTATTTGTAAATTCTTTATTTAAATATATAAACTTGTAAATAAAAACTTCATATTATTTCAAAAAAAATCTGCAATTAAACTTTCTCAAAAAAATTAATTCCACACAATTGTTAGTTAAAAATATGAAAAATTCAACTGTAATCTAAAATTTTAACTGAAATCCATTTTTAAATGAATGTTTATAAAAAAATTCTACTAAATTGAGTTATTTAAATACAAAAATAACAATTTATTAAATAATTGCATCTTTCATAAAATTGAATTCTCATAAAGAATTTTACTATAAATTTTCAAATAACTGAATTCTTTTGACGAATTTTAGTAAAATTTTTAAAAATTTCTGCTAGGAATTCGATTAAAATTGTATTAAAAATAATTGAAATTCTGCAATGAGTTTTATTATTTATGAAAATAATTGAATTCCTAAAAAGAATTTTATTATTTACGAAAATAATTTAATCCCCTTAAAAAATTTTAATATATATGAAAAAAATTGAATTATTGCGAAGAAATTTATAAAAAAAATTTGTAAATAATTGAATTTCTGTGAAATTTTTATTATCTTATGAAAAAAAAATTAAAAGTTTGTCTTGTATTTTACTAAAATTTTTGAAAATAATTGAATTCCGGGAAGAATTTAATTATTTCTCAAGTTAATTGAAATTTTGATAAGAATTTTAAAAAAAATATTGAACATAATTGAATTTCTGCGAAGAATTTTATTACTTTTAAAAATAATTGAATTTCTGCAATCATTTGCAATTTTTCTAAAATTACCCAAATAATGTTTAAAAAAATTGTCAAGACCAACGTCGTTTTTCAAGAAACAAATTTTTTTCTTAACCCGGAAATAAATTCTAAAAAAGTTTTAAGTACCTCCATGTTTCGGAAAAAGCTCTTCTTTAATAAAAAAAAAGTTACAAAGTTACAAATTTTTTCTGCACCGGAAATAAATTCTAAAAAATTTTTGAGTACCTTCGTGTTTCGGAAAAAGATCGAAATTTATGAAAAAAGCTCAAATTTGATGATCGACTCCAAAAATTATTTTAAAAAAATTGTTTTAATAATTTAAATTTCTTTTGATAAATTTTCGTTAATAAGAGAATTTACTCTGTAACTCTATATATACATCGAGCTACTGCAAAATAATTTCTTAGCTTGTGTAAAAAGAGATCTTTTGATGACTTGGCGCTAACCAGCTCGCAACGTGTCATAAAAAAGTATATATATAACATTTTTCATTGTCAGTTTAGTTTTTCATTGTCACCTACCACGATAAGTATTATAATTAAGGTTTAAAAAATTCCACCGAAACAAGTGCAACGTACCAAAACTCAAAATGATTAAATCAATTAATAAAATATTATTCCTTAATTTTATTATTCTATTAATTTACATGAAAGTTTTTTCAAATGCTGATGATGATGAACTGTTGATACAATCATCATGGAATTTATCTTCAGTGAATTTAGAAGATGATGCTCTTATTTGGAGATTCACTATTTGGAAGAACAGAGCTTTTCTGGCAATTCCCAGGTAAATATAATAATAATAATAATAATAAAATAATTAAATACCCTATTCTTTCTTTTTTGCAAATAATTTGTTTCGTAATATCAAATTTTTTGTATAAAAAAATATAATTGAAGACGGAAGAACGATATAAAAAATAAACGATATACATTGGTGGAGGCTCCCTGGCCGGAAATAAGGGATGAAACGACATTCGCTCTGAGACCATTTCCCAATTCCTATTCCCAATTGAATCACATGGATAATTGTTTTCGATCTCTTCGATGCGTGGTGGCATTAGATATCGACTCGAGAGGACGTCTTTGGGTTTTAGATGTACCAACGGAAAAGAAATGTTCGGCCAAAATAATTATTTATGATTTATTAAAAAATAATCAAGAGGTATTTATTACTATTATTATTATTAATATTAATAATTGCAATATTATTTATTATTGTTCCTATTCTTTTCTATTTATTACTATTATTTTCTTTATTATTACACCCAGAGAAAAATTTATATTTAAATTTATAGTAAATAAAAGTATAATAATCTCAGATGAGCCAAATATTAAGTTATTTATTTGTTTCAAATGAATATTCAAAACAAGTTAAACTTTTATTAGAACCACATAAAATTTTATTTAATCCAAAATAAAGTTTATTTCAAAGTTCGTAAATTGTACGATATAATTTGGAAAATTTCAGAGAAATTAGAAATGATTGAAAAATTCAATTATTTTCAAAAGTAATAATAAACATAGCAGAAATTCAATTATTTTCAAAAATTTTTAATAATTCTCGTCAAAATTTCAATTATCTTTATAAATAATATAATTCTTTTCCGAAATTCAAATATTTTCAAAAATTTTAATAAAATTCTTGGCAAAATTCCAATTATTTAAAAAAATTTTCCTCAATTTAATGATTTTCAATATCTATTATTTTCATAAAATAATAAAAAATTCACAGAAATTCAATTATTTACAAATTTTTCATAAATTTCTTCGCAATATTCAATTATTTTTATAAATTATAAATAATAACATTTTTACATAAATTCAATTATTTTTCTAAATAATAAAACTCATCACAGGATTTCAATTATTTTTAATCAAATTTTAATCAAATTTTAATCAAATTCCTCGATAAATGTAATTATTATTAAAAATTTTAATAAAATTCGTCAAACGAATTCAATTATTTAAAAATTTGTTGATAAAATTCTTTATGAGAATATACAAATTTTAAGAAACATTCAAATATTCAATAAATTATTTTTTTGTATTTAAATAATTCAATTCTAGTAGAATTTTCTAATAAAAATTGGTTTAAAAATGAATTTCAGTTAAAAACAAATAAAATTGAAAATACTCAAAAAACTATTTCAAAAATTAGTAAAAATAATGGATTTATAGAAAAAATTTAGTTAACACGAAAAAAAATTTAATTTTGGAGAAGTTGCAAATTATTGCAGAAATTAATTGTTTTCAAGAGTAATAAAATCCTTCGCAGAAATTTAATTATGTTAAAAAATAGTAAAATTCTTCTTAGGAATTCAATTATTTTCATAAATAATAAAACTCATTGCAGAATTTTAATTATTTTTAATACAATTTTAATCAAATTTCTCGAAAAATATAATTATTCTTAAAAATTTTATTAAAATTCGTTGATAGAATTCAATTATTTGAAAATTTTTTATAACGACTTTTTATGGGAACTGAATTTTAAGAAACATTAAATTATTCAATAAAGTATTTATTTGCATTTTATTTGTATTTAAATAATTTAATTCTATTAGAATTTTCTAATAGAAATTGATTTTTATTTCATAAAAATGAATTTCAGTTAAAATTTCAGATTATAATTGAATATTAAGAGCAATATACCTTTTTTAGAAATAATTGAATTTTGAAGTTAATTTTTTTTAAAAAGTTTAATATGAATTTTTTTTATATTAGTTGAAGTTTTTATTTTCTAATATATATTTAATTGAAGAATTTACGAATAATTGAAATTTGTAAAATTGAATATTGTAAATAAATGGATTTTGAAAATTGTAGAACTTTTTTGAAAATTAATTATGATTTAAAGAAGAATTTTAGTGAAAAATTCTTAAATGAATAAAAAAAAATACTATTTTAACAGCTGAAAAGAGTAGAGTTATCGAACGTCTCTACTGCAAATTTAAGAGCCCTTGTCACTTATTCTGACTCGGAGGACACGAGAGCTTACATTGGTGACCCGGGGAATGAATCTATCCTTGTATACAGTCTAGGTATGTTTGTATAAAAAAATAAAACATTAAAATTACCTTCTTGAAAGTTGAAACTAAAAAAAAAAATTTCTATAATCTAAAAAAATTAATGAATTTAAAACTTAATTCCTTTAGCACTAAACAGATTGTGGAAAATTAAATTGACACACGAGCCAGATATTCCAAAAGTGTATAGCTCCGATTTAGCAATTTGCTGCAAAACCTCTCTTTTATATTTTACCGGATATCCCTCCCGTGATCTTTTCAGTCTAGATTTAGAAGAACTTCTGGAAAGAGAAGAAGCAACTGAGGTATAAGATTTATTTACATAAATCTTTTATAATATTCACTATAAAAAAAAGGTTCTAAATTAGAGCTGATTTCGGTATTAAAATAGAACCAAATTACGATTTAGTACTAAAATTGGTACTAAATTAGTACCTTTCATTTTACAGCGTTTATTAATAATTATATACCAGAAATTATTATAATAATCGTAATATAATTGCTTTCTTAAAAACCTTTTTTATAATTATTTAAAATAATAATAATAATAAATTTATTCTCTTCAGAAAAGAGTTAAATCGATGAATGTCTCTTGGCACGGTGAAAAACTTGGATCCTCGTCAGGATTATATTGTGATAAAAAGAACGGACTTCATTATTTTTTGATAAACGATAAAGCAAGCGTTCGTTGGGACACTGACTTTGAATTAAAGGTAGCTTTCTTTTATAGATAAACTGAAGAAATTATGATTCAAATAACCAATTTTACTTGAATCAATAATAATTTTTTTCCAATATAATTTGAAAATAGGTACACTATTTACGACTTTTCAAATTACATATATATATATATAAATATAATTTGAAAATTGATTCCATTATACATAAGATTTATATTTAGGCCGAGAATCATCTCGTTCTTGTCCAAACTGAAGACGTACCATACATCACTCACTACGCTGCAGATTCACAAAAGAACGTGTGGGGATTATCAAACGTCTGGTTTCCATTTCGGGAAGAAAGCTTTATCGATTTCGAAACAAAACTCGAGTCACGAACAGTCATGGTCTTCAACTACAGTCAATATTCTTAAGAATCATATATATTTATATTTTCCAACCAAAAAATTTATTTTTGTCTCTAATTATCAATTATTATTATTTTCATCAGTCTCTATCTTTTATAACAGATTAATTTCAATTTTAAATTTTACAATTTAAACTTTTTTAAAAGTATATTTTCTTCTAAACTATGGTTATGTACTACTTATTAAATAAAATTACAAATTCTATATCATTGTAATAATAAAAAAATTTGTAAAGGAGGAAATTTTGTCAGACTGTATAATGCATTTCTGCTATATGTATATTTAGATAAATTACAAGAATTTGTCTTGATTTAAAAATAATATTTTATACTATTGATAAAAAAAAAATTTTTAAAGTCGCACTTATTCCTTTGAAATTAATTTCTATGGCAGTAAAGAAAAGACATTTCTGCGTTCAAACGCCGAGACTGTAATTATTATTCTAATATCAGTAGTAAAAGACCGTTCTCGTCAGACGAAACATTTTCATTTCTGTACTTCTATTCAGAAGTAATAAATCCTTCTGGCGAGACACGTTATTCAAAATAATAAAATAAAAATTCTTACAATATTTTTACTACTAATTTATTTACAAGTGTAAACTTTAAAATTCCTCGTCTGACTAAAATATCTTTTACTATACTGATGTAAAAATTCAAAAAAATAAAAAATTGAAATTAGTAAAAACGTTTACTAATTTGAATTAGCGACTGACCGTTTGCTTTTGAATTAGTAAATTTTACTAACATAAATAGTAATCTCTACTAATTTATTAGTAAAATTTACAAACAAATAGTAATTTATATTTTTTTAGTAAAAAATTAATAAAAATTTTACTAATCTAATTTATTAGTTTACAAAAGAAATAGTAATTTCTACTAATTTGACTAATAAATAGTAATTTCTACTAATTTTACTAAAAACTATAGTAATTTCTACTAAATTATTTTAAATTAATAAATTATAAATAACGTTAATTAATCATTTAAGTTAAAGACAAATTCCACTCTTACTACAATATTTACTTTATAGTTTATACAAGTGTACTTCAAATGTAATTCAAATTCTTGTTGAAAACACTAAAAAAATTCAATTTTGGAAAAATTACAAATAATTCGAGAAATTCAATTATTTTCAAGAGATTAATATTCCTCGTCTGACTAAAATATCTTTTACTACTGATGTAAAAATTTAAAAACTCATAAATTGAAATTAGTAAAAACGTTTACTAATTTGAATTAGTGACTGACTTTTTGCTATTGAATTAGTAAATTTTACTAATAAATAGTAATTTCTATCAATTTATTAGTAAAAATTACTAATTCGAAAGAAAAAAGTTACAAACTAATTCAAATTAAATAGTAAGCATTCAAACTGAATTCTCATAAAGAATTTAATCAATAAAATTTTAAATAATTGAATTCTTTATTTTGACGAATTGAAATTTTAAAAATATTGAATTCTTGTAATCAATATTGATATATGTGAAAATAATTTACTTCCTCGGAATGATTTTATTATTTATGGAAATAATTAATTTCCCCTTCATGTGAAATTTTTATTATTTTTAGAAAATAATTTAATGTTCGTGTAGAATTTTATCAAAATTTTTGTGTAATAATTTAATTCTTTTAGAAAATTTTATATAGTAGAATATTAAAAATCATTGAATTAAGAAACATTTTAGAAAATAATTGAAATTTTGCCATGATTTTTATTTAAATTTTTGAAAATAATGTATAAATCTTGTAATGCGTATATTATGAAAATATAGTTAAATACTGCAACAAATTTTACTAAAATTTCTGAAAATAATTGAATTTTGTCGAATTTATTCGTTTATAAAGATAATTGAAATATTAAAGACAAATTTTTTTAAGATATTTTAAAAATAATTGAATTTCTGCGAAGAATTTTATTAAATTTGAAAATAATTGAATTTTCGTGATGAATATTGTTATTTATGAAAATAATTGAATTTTTGACGAGAATTTTAATAGATTTTTTGAAAATAATTGAATTTTTGCGAAGAATTTTATTAAATTTGAAAATAATTGAATTTCTGTGATGAATATATTGTTATTTATAAAAATAATTGAATTTTGCAATGAATTTTATTAAAATTCATGAATATAATTGAATTTCGGCGAAGAATTTTGCTATTTTTAAAGATAATTGAAATGTTGACGAGAATTTTATTTAATTTTTGAAAATAATTGAATTTCTAGAAAGAATTTTGATATTTATTAACACAGTTGAATTCTTTCAAAGAATTGGGTTAAAAATTGTTTCCTGACCTGTGGCAACCCTGATATATAAAAAATTAACAGCGATTAATATTAAAAATAATGAAAATGAAAAAATTAAATTAAACAAAAATTTCCTACAAACGTAGCAAATAATAAAAAGAAACAATGCACGCATAAAAATGCCAACGAAACAAAAGTTTACGAATAATAATTTCCGGGACCCGTGCAGCGAAGCGAAAGAATAACAAATGCTGGGACAAGGGTGAAGAACCTCATTGACAAAGGAACTCCAGAAGAAAATTGTAAAGGAAGAATTCCTTGAGGTTCCTGTATTCCTATTCTTCGAACGGGGGCGGTGTCGAACGGAGGGCAGGCCCGAACTGGGGCGTAACCACGTCGTGGAAGAGGCGGTGCGGAATCTCTCAATTATTTAAAAAGTCCTTATCAATATCCTTATAACCCTCTCTCGATATCAATTTTTCATATTATGACTCTTTTTTCCACTTTTTTCGAAATTCATCAAAGTCGTGATTCTCATATTTAAAAAAGGGGTCTCTCTCTTTTTTTTTCTCTCTCTCCCTCTATATCTCTCTTCACACGCACGTATATCCCTAATGTGAACACTCAACTTCCTGCGCCACTTAAAAAAAAAGAACAAAAGAAAACAAACCCTTTCTTTAAAATACTTTTCTCGTATATATTCTTCTGCATACAATGACATCTGCCTCAATTAATTCTGCAACAATTTCTATGAATGTTCTTCAACGATTGACAATTTTTTATTTGACCTTTTTAATTGTATAATTAAAGTCAAGTATACAAATCTATTATATAAAAATACGTCTATAATTTTTTCGCTAGAGGAAAAATCTTTATTTCCTTTCACTAAAATTTTTCTATTTAAATCAATTAATTTTCAAAAAAGTTCTTCTACAATTTTCAAAATCCATTTATTTACAATATTCAATTTTACAAATTTCAATTATTCGTAAATTCTTCAATTAAATATATATATTAGAAAATAAAAACTTCAAATAATATAAAAATAATTCAATTAAACTTTTAAAAAAAAATTAATTTCAAAATTCAGTTATTTCTAAAAATTCATTTTTAAATCAATTTTTATTTAAAAAGTCCACTAACAGAATTCAATTATTTAAATGCAAAAATAAATAATTAATTTAGTAATTGAATATTTCTTAAAATTCAATTCTATTAAAGAATTTTATCATCAAATTTTTAAATAATTGAATTCTTTGGACGAATTTTAATAAAATTTTTAAACATAATTACATTTTTCGAGAAATTCGATTAAAATTATATTAAAAATAATTGAAATTCTGCGATGAGATTTATTATTTGTGAAAATAATTGAATTCCTAAAAAGAATTTTATTATTTACGAAAATAATTGAATCCCTGTAAACATTTGATTATTTATGAGAATAATTGAATTATTGCAAAGACATTTATTAAAAAATTTGTAAATAATTGAATTTCTGCGTGTAATTTTTAATTATTTTATATGAAAAATAAGATATTGAAAATCATTAAACTAAGGAAAATTTTTTAAAATAATTGAAATTTTGCCAAGAATTTTATTAAAATTTTTGAAAATAACTGAATTTCGGAGAAGAATAAATTTTATTGACATATGCAATTGAAATTTTTACAAGAATTTAGAAAAAATTTTAAACATAATTGAATTTCTACGAAGAATTTTATTACTTTTGAAAATATAATTTCTATAATTTTTGCTTTTTGAAAAAATTGTCCGACATATTGAATCCGCCATTTTGAATTTTGAAAAATTAACACTGGATTCGTAAATGACTCGTTTAAAGTGAGTCTAAGTAAGATTTTGGTCAAGCGACTCTCCTACCTACTAGTCACTTTCAGTCACTGAAGTAGTCGCAATGTTTATTTATGTTTATTTATTTTTATATTTTTTCATATTAGGTAAAATATTATTAATTATACATTAAAAGTAACAATATTCTATTCAATTAAAGCAGTGCAAAAGTTTCCCTACTTTATTCTATTCGAAATAGAACTTTAACAAAGACCTAGCCTAGTTTTTCTAGTTTCTGGCAAGTCCCTTGCTAGTTTTCCTATTTTGAATAGAATTATTATAATAAACTTCTCCACTGGTTTTTTTTTATTATTTATTTATCTATATTTATATACGTATATATTTATTAAAATTATCTACATTACTTTTTATTACATGCGATGTAAATAAAACACATTTCTCGTAAATACTAAACCGAAATAATAACTCCCGATTTGTTTCGCGAAATATATAGAGAAACAACGGGGAGTTTTAAAGAGGAAGAGAACATCCCAGGAAGTATAACTTTAAATCACCCTTCCCCCAGAGGTATCAAATCGGGGGAAACGCCCCTAGATAGAAATCATTCCACCCTCGCATCTCCATTTCCTCTCTCTCTCTCTCTCTCTCTCTCTCTCTCTCTCTCACCCCCAATTCGGCAAGTTTCGCAAGAGGGATATTTCCCATCAACCTCCTAACTCACCATGGCCACCTGTTCCAGTTGTTTACTCTTGTATTCTCCAGAGTCAAGCGATATTCATCCTATTATATATATATACACATAAATACAATGACCACAAATAATCTAAATTTGCTTTTTAAAACTTTTTTCCATTTCAAAAATAATTAAAAAATACTTCAATTTACACCCATTTAAAGTATTTCAACTGACTTTTTTGTAATGTAGACAAATTGTCGATTTAAATTGAATATTTTTTTTCTTTTTAGAGAAGGAGAGATTTGTCAGTAGTCTATTAGCATTTATCTAGGTACATATATATAATGGGAAATGTCGAAAGGATAATAGAGACTAAACGATGACCCTTATATAGTTGTTGACCTAATTCACACAATATGCTATCCTACCACATTTGTATGTCATCCAATAATCTACGTTTTATAGCT